TGATATTTTTTCTTTTTCTATTTTTTTGATAATAAATCTTCTAAAAGTTGATCTAAAGGAACCAGCATTTGGTTTAGTTGATTTTCTCTGTTGTATGTTTATAAACATAAAATGCTTTCCTCTATTCAGAATGATTTCCTTTTTCTACATTTTTTTAGATTTTATTTGCTTTTCTCTTCTAGCTTTTTGAGATAGAAATATAATCTTTGATTTTCTCCCTTCTTTTCTATTAGAATATATATACATATATGTATGTGTATATGTATATATATGTGTGTGTATATATATATGTATATATACACACACAGATATATATATATATATACACACACACATACACACACACACACACACACGCATACACACACACACATCCAGGGACCGCATATATGTGCATATGTATGGATGGATATATTTGGATATATATATACATATATATGTATATATATAAATTCATCTATACATATCTCTTCATCTATACATATCTCTTCATATATATAGTTGAGATACCTCAAGCATTCACACTAATCCAAACCGGATTTTTCCCCAGTTAGTCCAGACTCATGAGGTTTGACTCGTATTCCAGGTTTCCCTATTTATTCCTACTGTAATTCTTCAGATGAATCAGTAATGTTATAAAACACACAGAAAGTGCACAAATACATCTTGGAAAGATGGCGAAGTTGTTGAATTATTCAGTGAGCTCTGATTAGAGAGGGAGGAGCAGTTTTCTCCTAATGTTCTTTTTCATTGCAGCAGACTGAAGCTCTTGGCTTCTCCCATTCCACAACCGATACTCAGTATCTTATTATTAGGAAAAATAAGAGCCTCCTGATGAAAAGGCAGTGGAGTATCATAGCCCTTCAGTCTTGTTGTTAGTAAAGTTAATGGAAAATTGAACCCTAATTGTCTAAAGTTAAACATAAAACCATTTCTATTTTCTGTTTTGTAAATAGACCTTTAATAAAGGGAGGACTTAGAAAATCATTTGTTCTCCCCCAGCCACGACTAACCAATCAGCCCTTCTCCTGACTTCTCCCACGTACCATTCAGGAGGCCCTGTAGTCTGCACCTCCAAGTTGAAGTGCATGAGGCTCAACCCCAGTCACCGGGGTAAGAACTGGGGGTGGTGTAAAGGCCTGGCAGTCCCGCCACTTAGAGGCAGAAAATGTCTCTGAAACATAAGATGACGTATAGCCTCCCTTTAAGGCCTCCCCAGCTCCACTGCATTCATGCCCAGCAGGGTTAGCGATGCCTACGCATGACCACATCCAGTTGCCTTTCTGCCCTTTTCCTGATGAGACTGAGCCACTAGAAGATGCAGGCACCATGGATACTGAATGAGCATCTTGGGCCAGCTGCTGCACTACCCACTTTAGGTGCTCAAATGATGCCATATAAGCTCCGACAGATAAGGACTGTTGCTTCTGTTTGCTTGTTTTACTTTTCTAAACACACCTGGTCCCACTGATTAAATTACAGATGACACTGTAAGCTGAAACGAAGCAACAGGTAACCAGTCTGCCCAGGGACTGGTTGCACATGACCACGGTGTGAAGACTCTGCTTTAACTATCTGTGAAACCAGGGCTATCTTTCGCTGACACTGAAAACTCCCCGCTTCAGAGCCAAGGGGCTGATAGACCATGAGTGAAGGAGAAGCAGCATTCTGGAAAAAAATTTCTCTCCCCTCCTAGATATACTGACAGGCTAACTCTGAAATCCCAAGTGACTTCAACAGATGGGGCATATGTTGTAATTTATAACATCTGGATGTCATCCAGATGGGTTTGGATTGCCGAAGTGAAAACTATTCTGGAAAAGTATGACCAAAACTGGGTTAAGGTCCAATTTCTCTTAAAATCAGGTCATTCAGTAGGTGTAAATCAAACTGCCTGAAGCTTCTCAATCTGTAATTATTACCTGTTTCACCCAGATCTTGGCACTGGCTGATCTCCAGAGACACCAGAACACAATAAAATGATTCTGTGGCAAATCACAGGTCATAATGGAGACTCCTTGCACACAGTGGCACTGACAAAGGGTTCAGAAGGTAAGTGCTATTGAGACTAGGCTTTGTTCTTTTTGCTTTAAACAGAATTCCTATTCCTGAAAAGCACAGTCTCTTGGCACTTGTATCTGACAATGGAAGACGATGCACAATTTGTCATGATTCAATCAAGGGCAGTAGGTGCATTCAAGGAGGCCTGGCTGTGATTGCTGCCAAACAGAGAGCCTTGTGTGCTCGCAAAGGGAGTTCTTGAACACAAAGCCAAACTCCAGTGTCAGATATCAATTACCGTGGTCTAGGGCAATCTCCTCACAGTATTTTTCATCCCCTGATTTGTCCTGTGCATGACTCTAAGAATTCTGAAGCATCAGTCTTCATGCAGCTCCCCTAAAAGCCGTGACACCTCCAGGCCACCTCCCTCCAATCAGCTCTCTACACACGCATTTCAAGAACCAAACCTATCTGAGGTCATAGGAGGACTTCGGTGCTAGTAAAAAGGGGTAAATAAAAAGCTTTCCTTTACTTCATCAACTTTTGAAATAAACCAGATCCTTACCCAGCAATGGTCTGTCCATTTTAGAGCTGAATCTGGCAGGGTGTGGCAGAACAACAGCAGTCCAGAAGAAAGCAGATGTTTTCACAAGAGATCTTACTAGACAGCTGGCCCTGAAGAGCCTGTGGCAGAGCTGGGCTAAAACTCCTAAGAGCTTAACACTGAGCTCAGAGATTCATAACAGCTGGAGTTGAGAGAGAGCAGAGAGGAACTTCCCGCTCCTTTCTCTGTGTGGTGCCCGACCTCCCGCTACAACAGTGCCATTCAACAAAATCTTCTGGGATGCCGAAATTTTATCTGTGATGCCCATGTGGCAGTCACTAAACATATGTGGCCATTGAGCACTTGAAGTGTGGCTGGTGAGACTGAGGAACTTGACTTTTAATTTTATTTAATTTTAATTAATTTTAATTTAAGAGCTATATATGACTAATTGCCATATTAGACTGCATAGCTCTAAACCCCTCTGGAGTGAAGGTTTAGAGCTCCATGACAGGCCCGGGAGAATTATTTTTTGCATAGAGGAGAGTAAACAGACCCCGAGAGATCTGAAATAACTCTGAACCCTAGCAGGGCCCTGACTAGAAATCCAAGTGGCAGCAATTACCCTGCAGAAGCGGGGAAGGTCAGTGGGGTGCCCTTTCCCACAGCTTCCTCCTGGGAAATACTGACTCATTCTCTAAGATTCAACTCAACAGCATGATGCTTTCTGACTTCTCCCTGAGCAGTAAATCTCAGCTTCCTCTAGGCCTGCTGAGCACCTGGTTCCCACCTCCATTTGAGCACTCACCAGGTCTATCGGAGGCCTTGCCTGGTTCTGAGCATTCACTTGTTCACCCTCGGTCTTGGCGTGCACCGTTCACAGCCCTGTCGGAGCACTAATGGCACAAGTGCTCTGTCTCTCCCCGCTCCACCTCCTGTGAGCTCCTCGAGGACAACTACCACATCTTATTTATCTTCATACCCTCAGCACTTGCCATTTAGACAATGCCCAGGAAAAGTCTAATGAATGATTTTGTCTTACAGTCAAGTCAGAAACGTCCTTCTCTAGGACACATCTACACAGCCACTCCCTCCAGTCTGACAACTGTTATCACAGGGACAAGGGATGCACTTCGTGTTTCTCTGAAGCACCACCAAGCCTAACTTTGTTTATATGTGTGCGTCTGTATGACCAACTTCCAGCATCTGGAGAATATGTATTTAAAAATCAAGGCAATGATAACCAAATATAACAGCACTTAGAGTT